ATTGACCCAGCTCAATTAGAGCCTCTTAAGGAAAGGGGGCTTCTCTCTAAACTAGGTTAGGGTAGCACAATAGATTGCCAAGCACACACAATGCACAATCATCATGAACAATGCCTCAAAACTTTAAATTAAACATCACCCACACACAATCATTCAATCCATACAATCAACTACATGGTGGAAGTTAGAGTTCTACAAGACCCAAGTGAATAGGAGACTACTCAATGCTAAAAGAAGGAAGAACACAAAGGAAAAAGGAAAAAAACATCATTGTGATGCCTCAACCTTTCCTTGTGCTTTAGAGATCCTCGCTTGAAGAGGAACTTCCCAATTCTTGACTTGGAGCAAACCCTAGCCTCTTCTCCCTCTTGATTCGTGACTTTCTCTATCTAGGGTTTCAAGAAGAAGAAAGTTTCTCTCACCTTGGACTCTTCTTTCTTCTTCCTTTCAACTCTCCTTTTATACACTAATCGAGCCTAGTTCGCGGTCCCAGTTCACAGTCGTGAACATCTGGCCTGCACCATAAACACAACCAATACACACCGCTTTCACTTGTTGAGTTTGCGGTCCATGGCTTCAGTAACTTCCGAAACCTCTCTAGACGCCTTTCAGTTTGCGGTTCGTGGCTCCATTTTACGGTTCTGGCAAGCGTGAACTCACAGCTTAGACCGTGAACAACGGCTGTTTCCTCCTCTTTCCCTAGTCCTCGCGCTATTTCTTCCAACTTTTGACTCCGGGGTTGGTTCCACCCGTTAGACTCTAAAACACATGGAAACACAGCAAACCTAGCATAAAACCACCCTTTATGGAGCTTAAATGCCACAAACGTCAAAGAGAAACAGAGATAAAAAGTGTACAGTTAGGCCCGAATCACTTCCCCACACTTAGACGTTTGCTTGTCCCCAAGCAAACCATTTCACACAAGGTAATATCTCAATCTAACAAAAGACATTGGGGACAACTCAAAGGGAACAAAGTGGGGAATCTCAATGGCTATTGGCAATTAACTCATGGACTTTTGCAAGCGACACCGACATCAACCACAAACGACATTCGAGACCACCAAAAATGGCAAACAAAAAGTTCTCACCTTGTTCATGAATCAATGCAAGTCTCAACAAGATCACTCATCAACCACAACTAACCATGCATAATATTCAAGTCCAAGGAATAAACTAATGGGCAACAAAGGTCCTCACCGGGGTATGATATGACATGCAAAGCAAGAATGAATCACTCAGTCACTCTCCCAGTGGGGTCGGGACTATTTGGTGCAAAAGAATGTGCACAATCATCAACTCTCGGCCCTAACGTCTCTTCACCATGGAGGCAACCTCTAAATGTTAGAGTTCACGGGATGGTTATCATCACTAGCTTGTCCGGAGGTCTTAGACACGTTCAAATGACTGGAAATTGTCTTTGACATGGGGAAAAGACTTTTTGGGTGGTGGAAAACACAACATGAGGTCCTACATCTTCACCTTAAAACTGAAAGGTTCTATGGTCTCGACTAAGAACCTTCCCTACACACAGCAGCCACTAGCATCGGTCAAAAACCTTATTTCTCCCTTCCAAACTATCACCCATCACGAACTACATTCAAGCACACTTCCTCGGTCTATTCTTGCTACCACATTTCAAACATAGTAGTGAAGGAGTTCAATAACAATGAAAGTGTTTCAATGGCTTGAGTGCAAAGAAACCCCTCCTAGAGCATACACTTTGATTTTTGTGGCACTCTCTACTTTATCTACCCCGCTTTATTACCTCTTTTTCGATTATTTTGTTTCTACTTTTCTTTACTTTTCTTTTCTTTTCTTTTCATTTGAGGGGGGTACTAGAGAGTAAAACACTTGACACATTACATTTAACAACCAATGCTCTCTTGTTAGAACTTACTCCAACACTACTCTTTTCTCTTTCATTCCTAGCAAGAACCGCACCAAATCCTCCTATGTAGAACCTCAATGGAGCTCCTAAGCACGAGCTCCGAAACACAAGGACAACTCACATATAGACACGAAGAAAGGATGGGGGCACAAGGCTCAAAGGGGTTGACTAGGGGATAGAACATTTCGGGACAATTAGCCTCCATCATACTCACTAGTGACAACTGTGATATTACTCACCATGGTAAGAGGGATCAAAGCACACAAGAAGAAAATGATCGACTTAAAACTCACATGCCTACCTAGTCACCCAACCATCTATTCCGATTCACTAAACACAATGCATGGCAATTGTAATAAACAAGTAATTGAGTCAAGACATCCATTCATTTTAGCACTAGTGAGAACTAAACCTTTGCACTATCATAATGCTTCTCTCAGTCATCATCATAGGACACACTCGATCACATGCAACAATTCAAGGTCAATGCCAATAAACACGAGATTCTCCCACAAATTGATCACTTTGATCATGCAAGCATTGCTTGTAGCCCTCAAAATTTTCAAATTTGGGCATACAAAGGCTCTAACCATCCAATCACACTCAAACAAGCATAATAACAAACTATCCCCCCCCCCCCATTAAGCTCGACATTGCCCTCATTGACGTAAGATAGGGGTAGAAATATGTTACCGCATGGTTTGGTGATTGAAAGTTGGAATTATTTTTCCGGGGTATGAGATTGGTGCTTCATGCTTCAAGGAGAAGACAAAAACAAACATAAACACATACTCGCTCGAGGCGAGGTTATTGGACATAACAATACGATAGTAGTAGTAGTAGTTATTCATACACACACACACACACACACATCCACCACTGATTTCATAACTAATATCCAAACCTAACATAATAATATTCCGGAATAACAAACTCAAATCCATAATAAAAAAAGAGTTGTTTTATCGACAAACAATGATAAAACTAGTATTCAATGTCATTACAACTTGGCAATCCCAGAATCTCAAATCCGAAAAAGCACAACCACATAAGAAATGAGAAAGCAATAGTTTTGAGCCAGTTATGTGCCTCCACCTCCCTTCTCTTGGAGGAGCTGGAATCGAACAACTTTTGGATCTTGTCATCTTGCAAAATTCCTGAAATACATGAAAAGAAATCATTAGGCATATGCACAGTCCAGACTAATATCCATATAGGGCATACAAATATCCAGACCTAGCATACAAATATCCATGCATCATGGGCATGCTAAATATCGACATTCAACAAACTGGTATCACAAACATGTTAAATAATATCTCAGGTCAACAAACTACCATATTAACGAGCAAAACTCAGAACCCCCAAAATAATATCCACATTCAACAAAATGGTATTCCAGGCATGCTAGATAATATCCCCGATCGACAAACTACCTTATTAACGAGCAGAGCTCAGAACCCCCCAAACAATATCCACATTCAACAAACTGGTATCCCAAGAATGCTAAATAATATCACAGGTCAGCAAACTACTATACTAACGAGAAAAACTCAGAACCCCCCAAACAATATCCACATTCAATGAAGTGGTATCCCAAGCATGCTAAATAATATCCCATGTCAGCAAACTAACATATTAACGAGTAAAACTAAGAACCCCCCAAATCGAAAGAATCCCAGATCCCCCAAATCGAATCCCAAGGCATAGAAAGCGAATCTCAAATCCCCCGACAAGAATCCCAGATCCCTAACAACGAATCTCGAATTCAATGAAGCAAAAAAAACTCAAATCCAGTTGAATCCATGAAACCCTAAATCAAATAACAAGAATCCCGAATCTCCCAAATCGAATCCCACATCCCAACCATAAAAAATCCCAGATCCCCCAAATCAAAAGAAACCCAGATCCCCCAAATCGAATCCCAAGGCACAGAAAGCGAATCTCAAATCCCCGACAAGAATCCCAGATCCCCAACAACGAATATTAGATCCAAAAAACGAAGAAAAAAAACTCAGATCTAGTCGAACCCATGAAACCCTAAATCAAATATAAAGAATCTCGAATCTCTCTAATCGAATCCCAGATCCCAGCCATAGAAAATCCCAGATCCCCCAAATTGAATCCCAAGGCACAGAAAGCGAATCTCAAATCCCCCGACAAGAATCCCACATCCCAACAATGAATCACATATCCAAAAAACAAAGCCAAAAAAAAACTCAGATCCAGTCGAATCCAAGAAACCCTAAATCAAATATATGTAATCCAACATTCGTATCCATGAATCAAGGAAGGAGAAGGGTAAAACACATACCTCAAAGTTCTACCTTCACCGTCGCGTTGGTGCCTCAATGAATCAGGAGAAAGGAGGATGTTTACCTCAAAAACTTTCTTCTCTTCGCAGTTGGTGTTATCGTCTTCCTCGCGCTACTGGCGTTGGTTTCTTCCTTCTTGCTCGGGCGATTTCTTCTTCCTTCAAGCACCGCTACCGGCATCACCAAGCACCACTTCCTTCTCCTTGCGTTGTCTTCTTCTTCCCGCCCGCAGTCCTCGTCGACGTCGTGTTTCACACAGTCGTCGTTGCGAGAGGTTTTTGCATTAGAGAGAGAGAGAGAGAGAGAGAGAGAGGTTGGTCGAGAATTTTGGAGAGTGAGAGAGAAAGAAAAATGAGTGATGGAGAAAAAATAGGAGATTAAATAGAAATCAAAGGGTAGAATTTTTTTGAATTGTGGGACCAGTTTTTGAAATTTGGGAAGAGGCTTGGTTTAGCCGAGCCGCACGTTTCTCTCTTCCTCTCACATGGTGGCGCCGGTTAGGGGTGGCAGTTTGGTTTCCGGTTAGCGGCTAGCCGGCCGGGTTAACCGAAACCACCGGTAAGCGGCTAACCGAAAACCGACTGTATGTAACGTCGGTCGGTTGGCGGATAGAGATAGGGTTGTTCGGCTAGCCGAGTAACCTGAGACGGTTAACCGCGGCTAACCAGCTAATCGACCTCCGCCCAGATATTCTCAAAACTACGTCGTTTTACCTATTAAAAAAAACTAATTGAATTTGAGACCCTAATCACCCATCACTCTCCCCATTACTCGTGACTCTCCCTCCTCCCTCCCTCATATCAGCCGCCTCCACCTTCCAGAATCCAGCTCAAACCAAAACCCTTTGCCTCCTTCTTCCCTCGTCTTTCGCCGCCTCCACCCTTCTCCTTGGCCTCCCTCCATCTCTCCTCCCCGATGGCCGAACCCGCGCCTCCACGACCGGCGACGAACAAGCCCGCTGTCTCCCCTCACTACCCCAGACCCTTCATTCGTCCCCTTCATCTTCTTCCCTAATCACCTACCCCGAATAGAGACAGAGAGGCAAAGACAAAACAACCGAAGGCAGGCCTCTGCCACCGCCAGTCGCCCCCGCGACCTCTGCTCTGTAGGCCCACTGTTCTCCCCCTTTCTCTTCGTTTCCTTGCCGGCTGCCGCAAGATTTCGGTTGCACGGCTAACCGAGTAAAAAAATTGAAAACTGACAGTCGGTGGTCGGTTAGCTGTGTGCTCCTGGTCGGTCGGTTGTCGGATGCACTTGGGAGGTGGACGGTTAGCCGATAACCGAACTCCACCTCTAGCGCCGGTCCTCCTCCACCGTCGGATCACGGATTGCCGACGTGGCGTGCCATCCAGCTCTGTTAGTATATACTAACAGCTTATGCTGTTAGCAGAATAACCATACCGAGTTCCAGAGTTGGGTTGGATGTATTTTATTTGTGCAATCTTGCTTGTTGTGTGTCGTTCCTTGTACGGAGCAGCAGTTGAGATCATTAGATCTTACCAGAGGAAAATATTCTTGATATGGCTGCAATGGAGCAGATTCGTATGCTGGCATACTAGCTCTAAATAGCAATCCCAAATTTCAGGTTCATTGACAACATGACTGCTAAAGGCTAGATCTTGAAATTGAATAGTCATCAATTTTTTTTGGTTATATAAAGCTTACTTGTGTGCCATACTTCACTGATGATATCTGGAAATGATGGACATATCTTTCCATTTGATGTGTCCAAGTAATGGGTGTGTTCCGTTTTAGTTAGCAAATTGGTGATGAGGATGTTCCAGTTCTAGGTTTTCTTGTGTTAATTATTATATGAAAATTCGTCACTTTGTGTTATTATCATATATGGTGATGTTGGAGTATCAACCATATGCACTTTGGATGGATAATTGGAAAAATCTTAAATCATGCCCTTATATTGATTAGAGTCTAGCATCAAGATATATTGAAGTCTCTGTTTTTGGTTTTTCAGCGGATGAGAGTGGGTAATGAGCTCTCAAACATGCATGACGGGGGAGAATTTGGACAGCAGTTGAAGGAGGATGATAAAACTTATGTTTGGATTTGGACAAATGCATTTGACGAGTAGTTACACCTGAAAGGGATCAAAGAAGAGCGTTTTAAACTCCTAAACGTGATGTACTCCTTGTCAGTTATATATTCGTTACTGAGTATTCTTTTAGTGAGATCAAATTTCAAATAGTACTGCTATGGAACCATCGAAAAGAAAAGGAGGATTTGGACCGTTGGTGCTTGCCGGGATTTATCGGGGCCTAGTGCTCTAAAGGAAGATGGAAAAAAATACCAAGGAAAAGAAAGAAGAAAATCGTGATGATTGGGCAAGACAAGAGAGGAACTGATTGACCTAAGTAAGTAGGCAAGTGAATCTTAACCTTAGTAAGCTAAAAACCTCGTTAGTAATTACTATGGATATAAATTTTCCTAGTAAATCCTTCATTGATAATCAATAAACAGAGGAGTTAGATTGCTTTTAATATTGGGAACTCACATAATTGATAACGTATTAGTGATGTTTCATGTTCCTTATTTTGGTGTTAACCTTACGTACAAGAAAACTTTTATGTATTTATTTAGTAGAAAAACTCGTATTGACAAGCAATTAAGTGATATGTTGCTGATTATTAATTTGCAACAAAAAACTTTTAATCGTCCAAGGTTTCAATATATTCCACATAATTGTAGTTTTCAAGTGAACGTCATGTTTTAATTTTTATAATTTTATTAAAAATATATCATTTCAAGTAAATTTTAGATTTTGAACATCACTTAGTGAAATGAAAAAATGGATTTGCCTTGGTTTAGAACCAAAAACATCATTTTGAAAGACTATATTATATAGTATTTATTCGGGTCAATCGGGCGGGTTCGAGTTAGTCAGATTCGGGTTCAATCGGGTTGCGAGTCAATAGGGTTCGGGTTTAATCGGATTGCAGGTTGATCAGGTTACGAATTGGGTGGGTTACGGATCATTGACTTTTAATCAGTTCGGGTTGCGAGTCAAGTTAAACGTGCGGGTTACTCGGGTCGGTTTCTCGCACTCGGGTCAGGTTCTGTTTTGACACCTAGAGGCTAGGGATGGCAATGGGTCGGGTTGGGGCGGGTTTTGTCAAACTTAAACCCATGGGTTTATCTACCAAAAAATCTGGGGTAAAACTCGCTGAGTTAAAAAAACTCAAACCCAACCCAACCCACTGGGTATCAGCGGGTTCATAGGTACCCGTGGGTTTTTGTGGTAAAAAATTTACAATAACAAGTTTCTTTCAAAATAAAAGTTCAACATCAATTTTCTCATACAAATTATTCATACAAAAAACACTAATCTAGAGCATACAAGCAAACCGCAAATGATCAATACAAATTATTCAAAATTAAAGATAAACATCTATAAACCACAAGATTAATTGAAAGTTTCTTCCTCGTCAACTAATTTCCTTCACTCTCCACTCCATAATAGCAACTTCATTCTAAACAATTAGAAAGAACAAATTATATGTCTCCACAAACATAAAGAATATTAGTTGTTTAATGAAAATATATTATTTAGAATATTAAATATACCGGGAAAGTAATTATATGTGTGTGGGCGAGTACCCATGAGGCGGGTGTACCTAAACCCAAACCCAACCCGGTGAATAGTGTAGCGGGTTTACACCCGAACCCGGCCCAAAACCCGTCAACATGAATTTTACCCGCGTTGACTGGGTTGGGTCAGGTGGGTACCCGTGGGTAGGGATGGCAACAAAACCCGAACCCACGAGTACCCACCCGACCCAACCCGGTCAACGCGGGTAAAACCCATGTTGACGGGTTTTGGGTCGGGTTCGGGTTTAAACCCGCTACACTATTCACCGGGTCGGGTTGGGTTTGGGTTTAGGTAAACCCGCCCCATGGGTACCCGCCCACACACATATAATTACTTTCTCGGTATATTTAATATTCTAAATAATATATCTTCCTTAAACAACTAATATTCTTTATGTTTGTGGAGACATGTATAATTTGTTCTTTCTAATTGTTTAGAATGAAGTTGATATTATTAAATGAAGAGTGAAGAAACTTAGTTGACGAGGAAGAAGTTTTCAATTAATCTTATTGTTTTATAGATGTTTATCTTTAATTTTGAACAATTTGCATTTAATCATTTGCGGTTTGCTCGTATGCTCTAGATTGGTGTTTTTTGTATGAATAATTTGTATGAGAAAATTGATGTTAAAGTTTTATTTTGAAAGAAACTTGTTATTCTAAATTTTTTACCACAAAAATCCACGGGTACCCATGAACCCGCGGATACCCAGCAGGTTGGGTTGGGTTTGAGTTTTTCAAACCCAGCGGATTTTACCCCAGATTTTTTTGGCGGATAAACCCATGAATTTGGGTTTGACAAAACCCGCCCCATTGCCATCCCTACCGGTGGGTTCGAATTTTGTTGCCATACCTGCTAGAGGCAGGGTACAAATTATCCACGAGCGAGAATAAGTAGCAACCGTTCAAAAGTGCAGCGTCTATGGAAATTGGCCTTTCCTTCTTTTTTGCCATAATGCCTTCCGTTCTTATGTTATTTCAATTATCACAGTTGAAGTTGTCATAAGCAAAAATAACGAGGAATTGGGGCTTAAAACACATATTGGCAACTCTCAAAAACTGGTAAAGTTAACAATAAACGAGAGTGCAAGTCAGGGCAAGACAGTACAGGGAACTTGCGTGTTTATGAGAATATATGCCATTTTGATGTAGGTAAACATTCAATTGGGACTCAAAAGTCTAGCTACTATACTGGGATTCTCATAAACAAAACTGAACAAAATTGACTAGTTTAGGCTTGAGATGTAGCCTCCGCTGTTTCCTCCATCGGTTCTGCCTCAGCACCAGCAGCATCCTCAGTTTTGTCGCCTTTCTTGCCTGTTGAGGAGAAGGTATTAGGCAAAATTACCAAGACATTGGATTCTTCAGCTGCAATAACAAAACAAACTTTACCTTTCTTCTTCTTTCCTCCACCCTTCTTCTTTGTCTTGATACCCAAAGCTAACCACGCTTTAATTTCAGGATCATCAATCGACTTCGTAGCTTGCAACTCCTGAAGAGGATGTGATGTTATCCTATCCGAACCATTCGGCATCAACAACACTGTGAACTTTATATGAGCCACATAATCACCTGTAACCAAATCCACATTTCTGGTCAGTAAATTACTAAATATACCATTGCCGAAAAAGGGAACAAAAACCAGATAGATGAGCATTTAGGGGATCCTTACCAGGCTTCTCATGCAGAACAGGATAAGGCTGGAGTAGATCATGATTTACACATTCCACCAGTCCCAACCTAGCCCTTTTCTCTTCCAAGGCCCTAACCATGTACAATGAGCAGATGTATTTCAGTAGGAACACTAGAGAAACAGCAAGTTCTATGATAACAGTAGCAAAAAAAATCCAAGAAACCTGGCAGAGAAAGGCATGATGGGGAACTTCTGGCTGATTTCACTGAAAATGAATCTGGAAGCTTTCATCTTCAAGTGATAATTCTTGTCCACAGCTCTCTTGTAGATAGTTGTCTCCTTCTCATCTAGGAGCTTAGGCTACAAAAACAAACAGCTCAAGTTAGAAAGGAGCAGGGGATTGTTGCCCACTCCAATAGCATGAATTTGAAACTCAATTACCTTCCCATCACCCGTGCTTGTAACAATATCTACTGCATAAACTTCGTTCTCCTCAAATTCAACATCATCAACTCTTGTGTCTGGATTGGAAGCACTTAGAACAACCTTGTTTCCATCTATTACAAACTGCTTCAGCTGATGGCTAAGAACACCCTCCACAATTTTGCAATCATAAGCAGCAGCAACCTTTTGAATTGCATCCGACACATCTTTATTCTGCCACAAAATTTAAATCATTTCTTACAATACAGTCGAACAAACAATGCAAACAACATGCTTTAACATTTACAAGTGCAAAGACTACAACATGTTACATGAGTCACAA